TTTCAAATTACTGTAAGTCCTATTGCATTTGGTGAGGGAACTTTGATTCTATCCTAATTTTTTGCCACCTCATGTTCAACTGTTCCCTTTGGGCAACCCGATGTACCAGTACATGTATGTGTGCATTTTGTGTATCGGTACTTCCTTGTAGAACATGTACATGTACATTGCATGTATTTGGACAAGTCGAGTTAATCCGTGTCAATCTCAACCTTAATCCCTTTAGCCTTCCAGCAGGATAAGGACATTGTACAGCAGTGGGTATAAGGTTGAGCGACACAGTATCTGTACTTACACCCTCATAGCGAATCACAGTGTTTTGTCTCACATTACCGTAATTTGATCCAGACGAATGCATTCGTGCCATTGGCATTGATTGAACATTGTGACGTATGGTAGGTTTTGCCTGTACCATTGTTTCTGCACCCTTTCCCCCCCCCCAAAAAAAAAGAAGTTTTGTGACGCATTCCTTAACATGGTGCATCTTAAATTTCAGGTGTGTTTTGCTGGTTGTTTTATCAGGTAATTTTTTTGTCATCTTTTATTCTCTGGTTTTCTTTTGTGCATGCTTTTTTTAATTACTAATTTGACTTGCTTGTAAATGTACTTGGAAAGACAAAATCATTCTTATATGTACATGTACATCAACTTTGACACCTCCAAGTACATCTTCATATAGAGTACACCTCAACCAAAGTTTTAAAGTTTTTCTACCCTTCCAGAATACTGTACATGTGAATGTAACTTTTCTCTCCCAAGTTCTATGGCCGTGAACTTGTCATGCCTGTGACGTTTGACCCAGGGGATATCTGTCAGTTTATTGGGATGAGATGGTGTCCATACACGTTTGACAGGCAGTCAGGGAAAGTTGAGTGATCGCTTTGTAGATGCTTTAACAACAACTTGACTGGTATTATGGTAACTGGTGGTTATGTCTGCAGACAGATGTCTTGGTACAGTACCAGCCAGTGTCTGTGAAAAATAAGGCCACATAGTTTTATGACCTGCAGATGGTTTCTTGGTGTTATTGTTATGTGTTCATTTTGTGCCTCGAGGAGTATTAACATGTGTGCACTGTCCTTAAAGACACTTTGCATTTTAAAGCTTTTGGTTCCACACAAATTGGGAAGACTCTGATGAAAATGTAGAAATTTTCAAATTAAAAGCAAAGCACACAAAAAGTTGTGGTGGGTGTCTTTCAGGACACTTTTTTTAAGGTTGCTCCTCTTAAAACAGGAAAAGAATAACTGTCTGGAAATTTCCCTCGTTATTAAAGTTCCTTAGCCATTGAAATTCTTTTGAGAGAATTTTTTTATTCAATCACTGATGTGATTATCAGTAAAGTGCTTGAAATACAAGAAAACCTTCTCCCCAGTTTTGAATTTGATAAAACCAGATGCGATGTTTCACTTTGCTTGACAAAGTGTGATAAATCATCAAGTGTAGAAGCAGGGTGACGGGCAAGTGGTGCACCATTAAGAATATCTCAGAGCCAGTGTGTGGGCACATTTTCAAGAAAAAGGTTGTTGGGGTGCAGACCTACTTACATTTTTTGGCCTCAAGCAGAAACTTACAAATGTGGTTTCTATTTCCCCATCCATGAGCCTGCTGGGGTCTCTTGCTGTTCTAGCTATACATACCCAACATGTCATGCGCACGCATGTTCACATGGCACTGCGGGGAACCATGTGTAGGTATCAGGGCTGACAGGACGTGACTTGTGCCCACATGATTTATGTCTTTGTGGTAGGAGATGCCCTTCTGTGGAAGCTTACATGTTTATAGGACAAGTTCATGTGGTCATTGAAGCGACATGTTCATGTACAGTGTATGCTGTACAAATGTACATGTACATGTTTAGATGGTCTGCACACTGCACAGTCTATGCAGTACGTTAAACAGTAGTGGCAGTACATGTGTTTTTTTCTACGGATAATTGTATCCTGCTGGATTGAAGCTGGTTACTTGCTGGTATTGGTAAGCTTGAGTAGATCATCCAGTGTCATTACACTGATGAGTTACATGTATTATTTGTTCCCATTCATACTTGTGATATTTCCCAGCAGGGTCCCACCATTTTGCCCTCCATGACCATCGTGCTGTTTCTGCTGAGTGCATTGGGCCTGTCCTTGAATATGGTACCGGTAACTCCTACTTTATCTGGCATTGTGGGGGTTCTGTCCAATTTGGGTGACCTTGAGAAAACGATTACACCCTCTGCTGTAGTTATGATATTTTGTTTGATTCAGCAGTTTGCCTTGTGAAAGAAAAACTTGAGAGCATCTTTGTTTTTAGGTTATGCTAAATGTTCCCAGATCAGTCTAGTTCCTTGATTTTTTTTGTTTTTGCTACATTCATACCCAAATATGGATGGGGTCATTGCTAAAAGCGTTACTTTCAATAGGGGAGATTCACAATCGCGCACCTCCAAGAGTTTGTAACATGTTGGCCAATCACAATGCGTGAAGTTTGTTGACCCTTTCCAAACGTGCATTAGGCGGACAGATTTTGTGCATTGTGATTGGCCAACGTGTTGCAAACTCATGGAGGTGCACTGTTGTGAATCACCTGTATTGAAAATCAAGAATTCAATCTTCTTTGTTTTAAAAATATGACTTGTATGTTTTTTAGTGAATGTAACAGTGGTCAAGATTGGAACATTGGATTGTTTTCAACAAACTGTAGATTGAACCTCATTTGCGAGCATGGCTCGATGAGAATCATGACCAAAAAGTGCATTAGGCCGAACTTGTCAAGGTCTCATATGTTGGTTTTAATTTTCTTAAGTCATTAATACTTCTTGCTCATTATCAGCACTTACAGAAATTGGGAAAGATTCACTTTAATTGGTGGCAAGACGACAATTTTAAAGTTGTTTTACATGTAAGTCATTCAGGGGATACCATACATGCACGGTCTTGTTGGCATGATTTTCGAGCCAATCATGCATGGCAAAGTTTTGTGCCATTGTGTAGTTACGTAAAGTTTCGATGTACAAGAGCCAATTCCATTTATTGCCTTAATGTCAGCATAAAACTTCCTATTTTGGATATCCATAGTCATAAACTGTATATTTTTACCTTTTGGAACACGTATGGTATTCCACTCAGAATATCCTTTTTGATAACTCTGTCTGATCTCATGATTTTCCTTATTTGGACATTACGACTGTTCAGTATTTTAGCCTACATTTTTTTAACCTGCGTTTTGCCTCTGATATGACACCTGGAAACCCACTTGTACATACTTTTTGTATTTGCTGTCAGTCTTAAGCAAATAACTGTGATTACCTTGTGCATTCTGCTGTGATTGCCTGTGTGACATTTAGGGAAAACACTGTGTGTACTTTGATACCTCTCTGTTTGATTGGTTGGCAGGGTGGGTGCATTGTGCGCAGTATTTTTGGGGCTTAATTTTTTTGTCATCTGGAGACCGGGGGAAACGTGTTGTACTGCGGCCGGCATTCAATTTCTGTACACCCATGGATTAAGCCGCTTTTCCATCACGTGTCCTGAGGAAAGTTAGGGCTACGGTGTCGTATCTTGAAGGGAGCCGAGCTACGTTCATATATGTGGGCAGGAGTTGGCCGGGAGCAGTCTTGGAATGATACCACTGCTTGCCTAACGGTAGGAAAGGGTCTAGAGAGAGCTTTCGTCTGTTTTTGCATCTGGAAAGAGATTATGGATTGGTGTTGAGTTAATAGAGTGTGGCAGTACTCGAAGGTTAGGATTTTGAAGTGAGAGGCATGTCGTACATGTGCTGGTATGCTTTTACCAATCAGTAGAGTTTGTTGTTACTCAAAAAGTGACACAGAATGTTGACCACCAAAAGTGTATGTATTCAGTTTTCTTTTTATTCTCTCTGTGTATGAATCGCCATGCACAGTGGTCATGTTTTCAGTGTAACTCCTCTCAGTGATTCCATTGAAAATACTTATTTTGCCACGGAAAGGGTTGTCCTGAAGTACCTGAACTACTGGGTACATGTAATTGTAGATAGGGGTAGCCCCTAACATCTGTGGACTTTCTGGCATCCTCTAGCTTGTACTGTGCCTGGAGTGTGCAAGTACTCACCTTGCACATGTATGACTTTTTAAATGACTAGTACATGACTTTTAAATGTACACTATCATTCACAATGTGACAGGGTAGTCGTGGTGTATAGATTTTGTATTTGGCATGGCTTTTGTAAAAGGTTGAAGTGTTATTTTCTGATTTTTGCAAGAAAGTGAATTCAAGACTACATTTACATCCGTAGTTCAAGTTGAGGTTTAGATAGAAGACACATTCTTGTGTTGTTACTTAAATCTCTGTATCTGTGCCTTACACTTGCTGTCCACACATTAAAGAGCATGTTACACTACATGTAACATCCTAACAAAGATGTTTCTTGGTTAAAATACATAATATTCTGGCATTTAATCCATCAGTTTCTAGGTCATGGAAAATATCTCAAGTACCGTCTTGTTTTTGCTGCATGTGGTTTATCAGTTGTTGCTTTGATCGATCAACATAGCTCACAGAGTTGCTCATAACAGTGAAGATCTTTCACTTGACAGAAGCCTGAAAAATCTGTGGAAATTTTCATGGCTCAACAGTAAAGTTGGAAAAAGAGGCATCAAAGGTGAAGATGATCACTACCATGAAATCTTCAAAAAAGAAATCAAGCAGCAAGGAACCAAGGATAGTGTAGATGTGATCAATTGTTGCAATTTTCTGATGGAGGATTGAATATGTGACTGAGTTTTTATAGGCACTGTTTTTCTGGATTTTCCCGTTTCGTCAAAGCTCACTCCTGTATTAAGGATGCTGTTCATGGTTCCTTCTTGTCGCATTGTCAACAACGAGGTGGACATAATACGGCTTGCACAACATTGTGTGTTGCAGGTGTCAAATTTTTGAAATTCTGCTGGTTATTTTAGCAGCACTATGAAGCAAAGTTCTGTCTTTTATTTATTTATTTTTTTAAATTTTCATTTGTCAATTTTTTTCTGTTTTCAGATCCACCACCAAGAGAGACGCTGCTTCACTTTGCCACCCGCTTCAATCTGCCGCAGTTTGCCGAGTATCTTTTGGACAAGCCTGGTAGTGATGTCGCCTTGAGAATACCCAATCAGAACGGGGAATTGGCTGTTACCCTGGCGAGGTCACATGGCTTGAATGACTTGGCTGATCGTATGGATGAGTAAGTTCATGGCGCAGGATTTTTCATGAGCTGGTTTTGAAACTGCACTCCCACATACATAAAACGGTGCATAATACACTGGAATGTTATCTTAACTGTCCCTGATCCTTCAGCATCCACTGGGAGGTTCAGGAAGATTGTTCAAGAAATTATAAAGCCACATCACTGTTGGTTTACGTAGGGCCTGGGCCCCCTTGAAAACTGATATTACTAAGACTGTGCTCATGGTGACCCGTACACTAGAGGGTTATGGAGTATTCAGGCTTCTTTTGGGGCTGGACTGGTTCAGCGGGTCTTCCTCACCATCAACCTCTGACCTAATGTCATATCTACCTTACTTTATCCACAAGTTATACTTGTGATTGATGTATTCTGGATATCTTCACGCTTTGCTATTCTGGTTAATGCAGACTTGTTTTATTGGACATTGATTCCATCTTTACAATACACAAAAACTGAAAACTTTCAATAAGTGTCAATAAATAGTAATTGTGACCTGTCACGACAACATGAGAGTAAAGTCGCATCTCGCTCTTTCCTGTTTTGAGGGTTCAAAGTCATATTGAAGTGGAAGTCAATTTTGGGGTTTTGTAATATTTGGAAAGAGTAACCCGTCTCGTATTTAATTCCAAATATTTCACAGAATCACATATTTAGAAATGTCATTTTCGCAGCAATTTTGACGATAGAATTATTTGTGCCTTGTCTGAAATGTTGGAACAAAGTTGTGAACAAAGATGCAAAGCTGCTAGAATAATTGTCACCTTGTAACTTTACCCTAAGTGTTCCATGTACATACAATTGTAAAGCTCTCTTTTTACTGAATTCAGAAATACCAATGTCTTAGTTTTTGAAAATTCCGACTTTCAGCTCATTGTGTGGTGACAGGTCACAATTGATTTCAAAAGAAATTTGGGACTGTTTTTGCCCTACACTTTCAAAAATATGGAAAATCAGGTGTGTAAAGTTGTATGATTGACATGTCCATACACCTTGGTTGTTTTTATCATTGTGCTTAAAGTGGTACTGGGAAGCAATGAGATTTCATTGTGTTTGTGACAGGCACAGCTTCAGTGGTAGTTCACATCACCCTACAGACCTTAGCCGAGTCCAAAGCAAATCTGTGACGGTGAAGCGGCACGATATTGGCACGGCAACCATCACCTCCAGCACGTCAGAGGCGTCTCGTTCACTGGGTACAGACAAAAAAGAGAATTTTTTTTTAGTGAAGGCATCTATCGTGTGAAGTTTTAGCAGAAATAAAAGGGAATTGACAAGCTAGAAGTGGCTTGAACAGTCAAATACAAGATACTCGACATGGCAATTTGGTTGGGACCCTTTTTTGAAGCAAAAACTGAAGGTTCTTCATGCATCCAGTACTTCGTTATCATTTTGTAGTGTCACTTTTTATGTGCTAATATTGTGATTCTGTAGGATAAACATGTATGTGTAAAGTGTGCTAGTAATTGAGGTCTCAAGGGTCTTTGTATGTACGTCAAAAATGGTGTTTCTGTTAAGGATATTGACGTCACCAATATTAGTTCTGTTGCATGCCTGTTTTAATGCTAACCTTGCTAAATGTAGCAAAATGTAAATGTTCAAACATTGTTGTACAGATAACATGTACTATTGAGTTACAAATCAACCCAAGTGACAGTGATCGCTGTTGCATTGTGCTGCATTCAGGAGGTGCATCGAAATGTGTTACATTAATAGCCAGGTGCGCAATGAAAGCCTGATAGGTTATTGGAAGAATTTGGCCGCTTCGTTGATAGTGTTGAGAAATGTTAAGCAATTTTACATGATAATGTTGAGATTCTTATTCAGTTTAGTTAAATATCTCTTCTCCCAAATCAGTGGGTATGAGAGTACTCTTTCAAGTTTGATAATTGCTGTTTTAGAGCCCCCACCTTTTTTTCTTTTCTATCATAGAAGGTGATATTCAAATGCTAAGAGATTTAGTCAGCTTCATGGGGGAAGAAGCAGAAAGTCCACCAGCCAGATCAACGGGTGACCCACCTAGTCCTGACTGCTTCACAGTGGGTAAGCACATATCGTGTTGTGCAGGTGCATGCCTGAACTCTCGATTGGTGTGGCCAGGGTTCAGATCCCAGCTGGTTTACAGTTTACGAGGTACTGGTATGAAGTGCTTACAGAATATGCAGTGGCTTAAGATAAGACACGAGTTAAGTGCAGAGGATTCAAGTGTTTGTTCTGGAGCAAGTTTTAGTGTGCGCTACGGTCAGGCCAGACCACTTGTCGATATCTGCTTGCCAGTGGGCGTACACAGCACAGTTTCTTAACAGTGACACTAGCAGAACCATTTTGGTGAAATTCCATTGTCACTGAAATTTGTCGCTGGTTACATGTCATGCTGCTGCTCTTGGTCGCTGTTCTCTTGCTGCATATGCTGTATTTGTATGTGCTTAGTGTACAGTGCTACTGTGCCACATGAGTTGGCCCAAAATTGTCAACTGGAAAAGTCTAAACATCCTGCATTCAAGTCAAATTAGTTAGGCCGTGGTAAAGCTTTCTTTGTGGTCCGTTTACTCAGAGTACTGTTTAGCTGTTCAGCTGTTGGACCCTAGTTTGTACTTTGTTGCACTTGGTAATGGCGTGTGCAAAATACTTGCAGTTTAGGAAAGCCTCCTTCAGATCATGTCAAAGTTATCCAAGAAAGCATATTATGGAGGTGTTCTAATTAAGAGGCTGGACTCCCTTCCGTTGTCTGCTCCCATCCATGGAATTCAAACTGATGTCATTGTCCTTATCAGGTAGATGTTAATCATTATCTTTTAAAATGATTACATTGTAGGTAGTCTACCAGCGAGATTACCCTCGGAAATGCTATCATCGAGAGCACCCTCACAACAGTCCAGTCAACAGTACTTCTCAGCAGGTATAAATGTTAATAGCTGAATAACTGAAATAAATCCTAAATGCTGAATTAGCATACAGCTAGGTTACGGTGCAGCATTTCTCTTTTTGGTTTGATGCCGTAAGTCCTCACATAATGATATTCCTGGTCGTTGCTTGAAAGTTTTTACTATAAGGCCAGGGGCTACTTTGTGGAGTGGCTTATGGTTAAAAGAAAGTTAAGGTAACAGACAAAATAATTATGCTAATCCCAAACACATTTCAGGACCAGACTTGCTAGTGCTTAGATTTCTGTTGTTCGGTATATCTTTCATCAAAGCTGTTTTTCATCTGAAGTGAGCTATTCTTTACAGTGCTTGCAGTGCCCTTAAAAGTAGATGGTTGAACTTACCAGCATGGTGCCGGGCAATGCCATGAAAGTTGGCACATTTGGTGTTACTTGGCCAGAACTCTCTCAGAAAATATGTTCATTAAGCACCGTGTTTCTAAGGTTACGAGGAACCAGTGAAAACTGTATCCCTTTACATATGTATCAACAACAATAGTCATAATTACCGTTATCTGGATTGTCATTCCTGGTATGTCATCATTACTATCTAATTAAAAAAAATCTCATGGTCAAAATTAACTCACTTATATTCCACTTTCTTATAGAAAAAGAGAAAATATGTTTTGCTCAGTTACGATACAGTGTATGTGTTGCACTTGTGACCAAGGAAGAATTTCAGTATCTGACCTGTAGTTTGCTGTTAGTAAAATGATCAGAATTATCAGTCCTTGCATTGCCATCATTGTTAACCCTTTGTGCATTCTGAGGCTGCCGTTCAGTGGCCACAACCTCGTTTGTTACATGTGCGGTGTTTGGAATCCCGTCCTCAAAAAAAAAAAAAAATCAGCAAAACTTTGCCAACAAAATGTTTGACTAGCACTGAGGTACATGGAGTAAGAGAGCCAAGTGGATGTAGCTTATTGAAATTGATCGAACAAGAACTCTGTGAAGTGAGTTTCAGATAGCACACTGCTGTCTAAATTGCAGGGCAAGACAGATCTTCGATTTGCTACTCTGTCATAAAGGGCTCTTAATTTGTACAGGTTACTCATGCTCCAGATCCCTGCATTCGGACACAAAATTTGATAAAACATTCATGCCCGGATGAGTCTCCAGTGACTTGATTGAATAAGAGGCTATCGGTTGACCTGGGGGAGAACAATAAACATGCGCTTATACCAACACAACATCTTAATATTTCTGTATTTTGTATAGAGCAGGGCATCACAGTGACAAGGGCCTAAGGATAGAATGTATCACAGTATTCAGGGGAGATTACCCCCTCCCCAGTAAACCCCCTCCTCATCAGGCTTTTCAAAACAAATGTAATACATCCCGCCCTCCAGTCAAGATTTCACAGGCAAATGAAATTGTCTAGGGCTGCTTTTTTCTTTAAACACGATCGTGCGACCAGGATACAAGCGCATTTTGTTCATAATGGACTGAGAACGGTTATTTGCCGTGGGTGAGGCTTAGGGCTTATCTCTGGTCAGAATAGGATAGCGGGCAGGGGGCACTGGGAGTTGTATTTACCAGATTGATTGCTGTGAGACTGTCAGATGAGCAATTAATTTTAAAGGGAGGCTGGTTTTATAGCTTTTCTTTTGCTGAGTCAAGTGACTTCCAACTGACAAGCAAAAAAAAAAACTTTTGAGCATGACCAAGGATTCCAAGTCACAGTGCCCATAGACATGTCATCCTATTACACGTACACCTGTGTAATCTTCTTGGGGTATATTGGAGGTGTCAGAGGTGTGCAGTTCCCAGGAGTCTGTCGGTATCTTCTGGTGCGTTTATTAAAGTGAAAAGGCGGTGCATGAAACCCATGAAAAGGCCACCGCCTGTTTGCTCCTAGCAATGTTAAAGGCTAAGGCCACATGCATAAGCTGTTTTGTCTCCGTGGCTAGATGTTTAGCCATTAGGGTACTATTACGGTGAATGTACATGTACCTGTACATGTATGCAGCTGTTGCTGGAGAAAAATGCATGTGCACAAACCCACTGTCACATTCTGTACACTTTCAGCCAAGAACCTACCAGAATCCTACACTTTACAGAAAATGGTGGCATCCTCTCTGTTTATTTACCTTAATTGTCCAGGGGTCTCAAACCCCATGTAATTTAATAGTGGCCAGACTTAACCTTCCTAAAGTCTGTAAAGTCCCCCCCCTGAAAAGTTTAAAGACAATATAGGATTGTAGGATTAAGACCTGTTAAGCAGAATTGGAAGAGACAAACTTACATGCACCAGTAAGTAAAAGAAATACATGTGGCTTGCTCCTTTTTAAGCTGATGATGACTTGAATGACAGAGGAGATGATGAGGAGGATGAAGATGAAGACGACGAGGAGGAGACGAGGAGACCAGATGACATTCCTGAGGAGCCAGTACTAGGTGAGAAAGACTTTTGCTTGTGTGCCACTCACGGTTTGTTCTGTGAGGATGTGAGTTTTGTATGCTGTCTGAACACATTTGAACCCATGAAATGTCAGTGTACCACTATAGTTACCTAGTCTTTTATAATGCTGACCCTCTGTTGGTGTACTTTAACCCCCATCTCTTCAGGCCCTTCGACATCCTCTAAGATGGTTTCAGAGGATTTTGTAAGATTGAGGAAGGCATAAGATAGTAGCTTGTCATCTGATTGATGCTGATTTGGTATTCTTTGAAGGAAACTGTCTTTGGGTTCATGCATTGTGCAGGATTTGGAGGACTTGGGTAGGGTTCTAGTGAAATCTTCATACATTTAAGCTTTACTGTACATTTTTACCCCAGCTGTATTGGCCTGATCTTTGTAAAGATAGTGTCATTGCCAAGATGAGATTAAATCTAGGTTTTTGACAGTATCCTCTCTGCCCCTGGTAAATGCTGTACAGAGTGATAACGTAGCTAGGGAAAGGTGTTCAATCCTGAGCTGCTCAAATTGCCTTGCAAGTAACACTGGCATCAAATAAATTGTTTTTCTGTACTGTGGAGTCTGTAAAGTACGTGTATCTTAGTTATTGTGGAGAATGTTCAGGCAGTATGTAGGGGAACTTACTGATGGAGCTGTACATGTACCTGTTTATCCCAGTTGCTTGCTCTCGGTCATTTTTGTGTGTGACCCTCCAGGCAAAGATGATATCACCAGAACTGTACAGTTGCAAGTGTGTGACAAATATGTGTGCTGTTCAGTGTCATTTGTAAATATTGGCATTGTCACTGCAGGGAGCTTTGGTTGTGGACCTTGAACAGAGTGGCTTGATGCAGCATTAAAGTAGACATAAGGGAGGGGTGCCTCTCTATAACAGTTGAGCAAAGTGACCGGCATGTGTGGTGAACGTAGGCAAGGGTTTACAGGGGTAGGGTGGAAATGAAATTCGTTGAGATAGCCTGATGCATTTTATCAGCATTGTGATCTCTGGGGCATATTTGTGACTGATGTCACTGGAGGCAAATTTAGCTGATGAGATCTTTTCATGAGGTTGGGATACACTCTCTGGCACCGGGACACATTTGTGGGTGCCATATATAGGACCACTCAGAGTTATAATGTTGGGTAAGACTCATCTGGGAGTATTCAGAACATTTTGAAGTTAAAGACATGACAAAGGCACTGTACGATTTTTGTCAAGTCTGGTAAAGCAGCTGACATTCTTTATCAACAGTTTCTCTGCCTCTCTATCGTGCTGCAACTGAACCGCCAAACTGAACCAAAAATCATCAAACATGGCACAACTGAATTGAACCGAACTGAATCAAGCTGGTCGGTTCAGATGTTAGGCTTTAATGTGGCAACACATTGATAGGGCAAGGAATGCACACAAGACAGCTTGATTAAAAAGCTAGAACAAAAATTGATGAGTTTAGTGTACTCCCTATGCTTTACCCACACACAGGGCCTGCGCTCAGCACATGTGCGTATATGCGTGCACTGTACATGTACATGTACATGCGTACATGTATGTACAGTAAACCTATGATGGCCTGTCACTGTGCGATAGTTGTAAAAAGTATGTGGAGAGAATTTACTAAAAATCAACTGAGAATATGCAAGGTATAGCATTTCTGCCGCATAACAATGCTACATTTAAATTCTTACTACCGGTACATCCAGTTGTGCTTATGTATATTCATATGAACATTATATGCCAGTCGCTGATAGCCTCGCCCTTGAATTCCATATTAGGCTAATGATGTCATAAGTGGCGTTGTAAAACAAATTTTGATTAGATGCTGATCATTATTGGACTCATGCTCTAAGGCGATTCCAGAAATGGCTGATTTTGCCAGGCGGTTCAGCACTCTATCTAGCACTCAATCAGATTTGATGCAATGGCCTAACTTGCCTTTTGTTAGGTCAAAGTTGTTGTAGGCCTGTGAATACGTTGTGGAATTCGCCAGATCTCTAAGTTGTTCACAAATCTGAAACAAAATGCCGTTATCCATTCAAAAAATGATGGAAAATGGCCCCTTTGGCCATATGGGAGCCTATGGTATTTTAATTCCGAAATAAACTTTTTGGAAACGGGGTAGAAAAAAAAAATGGAAGGAGGAGATTCATTGCTTGTATTAACCCTAAGCCCCAAGGGTGTATATAAAATCATATTGAAATCAGAGGATTTGGGACTGTTTGTTGTATTTAATATGCAGAAGTACTACAGCACATTTGTAGCAAGTCTGTCAATGGCTCAATGTGCAATGTACTGTACGTACGTGTGTGTGCATGTCTGAACCTAAACCAAACCAAAGTTTGGCAAGAAATTTCCAAACCGTGTCCAAACCAAACCTGAACTAAACCTTGGCACTTCCTTGCAGCACTATGGTACCTATTTATGGACGTTTTTCTTCATGTCATAGTCTTTATTTTTGCCTATTAATGGCTGGTGAACTTTAGCTGGCCATCTGTACAAACACCAAAGAATAATTCTCAAATTTTAAAATATTTCACACAGTTATCAAACACACCAAATACAGACCTGCTACTGCTGAATTCCAATTGCAGATATGCTGTTTTTAAAAGTAACGTGACAAATACACATTTCAAAGTAAACCCTAACAGGGATGAGTGTTACTGGTGTTCCAGTAACCGTGGGCCACCCATACTAAGGGAATAAATATGTGCTTGGCTGGTTTAAAATGTACGGTTAAGACCAGCTCAGGAGAATTGACGTCACTAAAGCCCGAGCTGCAGGCAAGGGCATTATCAGCATTCATTCTCCTGAGTAAGGTCTTAAACATTAGTTTAGGACCGACCAAGCACAAGTTTATTCCCATTCATAAATACAATTTTAGACAGAGAGTTGAAACAAGTCAATATGTGATGTGTTTCCAATAAGTTTGTTCGAGAATTTTACTCTCATTTTCCCTGAACACCCCCATGCATTTTATTGTACGTGTATATCCCTTGTTCAAGTTGTCCAATAGTCTTCTTACATGGACTTGGCGGGTGCATGGCGAGCTGCGTGTACACAGACTCTAGACCAATCAGAATTGATTAAAATGTCTTGTATCCAGGTGCCAGCGCGTGATTCACGCAGCGGGCATTGTCACTTCTCAGCGGGTAATATCAAATGTTAATACACGGTCAAGTTACACGTTGTTGAATAGGGAGACTGTCTTGAGGTATTTATAAATACATATTATAATGGGCTAGATGAGAGAAGATTGTCACCGAGAATGGGTCAAACTTCTCTCCAATTGGATTTGGGAAATTCTGTGCGAAGTGTTACTATTACACTTTGAGCTGTTCCAAGGAATCTGTTAAGGGACGCCAAACTTTAAGTATGTAACATGAAGGTTGATGAACAGTTTTCTTGGAATATCAACAAACTTCACCTTCAATTTCTGATTTACTTGGGGAGAAACAGTTTTACCAAAATTGACTCTAGTTTGGTTTTTCGTGTTACAACTACAACTATATTCTCTTTATGTTTTCAAACTTAACCGTGGGAATACTCTGAAACATTTTAAAGCAACTAGAAGAGTTAAATGTTATGATAATTCAGTTTCTCTAGGGACCCCTCATATTCCATCTACAAATGTGCCTGAATGTCACTGAATGGGCCCCCATCTCAGGGAAAGACTCATTTCCTCCTTTATGCCCATATGACCAGTGCTAAAGGTTAAGAAAATTATTAAGGTCAAGTAGTAGGCTGTTTTTTGTAAGAGGTAAGTAAAAGTTTGTGCAGTACAGTAGTTCATATTTTGTGGAAAATGTCACGCCTTGAGAAAATGTTTACTGGGGACAAGTCATAAGCAGTACACATCCTGGGTATTTGCTTTCCTGTGCTTAACTGCTCCATGAATGCGGTGTATATGGCATCAAAGTAATCCAGCTGCTTTGCTTTCTTTTCCTCTTTAGTGTACTGCTTGTCTCAACGCACTCACACAAAAAGTAAACAGCTGGGGCAAAATTGAACAGCAAGGACTGTACTGCTCTTTTCCGTGTGAAGGATTGCCACACAGTGTTTAATTTGTTCCTTTGAAGTAGTACGAGTGAATACTGTCCAAAAGATCTTTCCCAAACTCCCTGTGATCCTGCAGGCTGAGAAATAAAGGATGGGCCCAGTTCAGCAGAGAGATGGGCCTCTCCAGACAAATGTGCCGCTGACATTTCTCAATCAGAATTTAAAGTCACAACTCTGCATTAGGGAGTTCAGGCTTTTACTGTTTAAAATCAGCAGGTTTCTCATTTAACCTGCCAGTGCTGGAAAAAACAGAAGATCTACCTGTAGGGGTAATAGTTTGAGACACTGTCATTTGAAAAAAATATAAAAAATTAACTTGATCAGTCAAGGAATGCTTAAAGGTTGAAGGCTTTATAGTGGCTGACATGATTGCAGTGTGGCATATTTAAGGTGCATGTTCATGTATATGAAATTAAGGAGCCAAATTTTGTGGAGCTGCAACATGTAATTAATTTTATAACCAGAATCTTTGGCACAGGGAAAATGAGCTGCCAGCTCAAATGACAGTGATGAACAATGCTTGAGGCTGATACACAAGTGCAGTCAGATGGGCAGATAGATTTGCCTTGCATGTCACTTTGCTCGGCTTTGTTGGTCATGTGGATGCGCATTGCGGGGGCACAATATTCAGTGCTGGTTGGCATTTATTATTCTGATACAATCAGGATACAGTGACGGATGCATGTACAAATCCATTTGAGAACTTGCTGTTATAAATTTGAAATGGCAGAAAGAGGTTACTATCTACATAATTGTAAATGGTACCGTTGTTACATGAGTACTAGTATATGTACGTTTCACCTGTAGAGATCTGGCCATTCAGCGCTTATCATTTTGACCCAGTTACAAATCAGGCCACTTGAGAACCATTAGCATGACAATAAAGACTTGATGGATATTACAATGTGATCTGCATTGCATG